TATTGCTTTTTGAAATACATTGTCCAAGAGGGATAGTGAAAGAATCTTCAAACGTCGAGGTTGAAATGATAGTTGCAACAGATTCCCTTATAAATCTACTGAAATTTGAGAAAGAGGCATTGTAATTACGAGACTTTAGTACAACTAGGATGACATACTGCTCATATGATCATACACGACCAGACCAGACGACCGACGAACTGATAAACGATGTAATAAGATCAAGAGTAGTCAGTGTTCCTTCTCGAGCTTGACTTTCTGTTGAGCGCGAGGAGGCCATTATTCAATGAGCCGAAGCGAAGGTACGAGTCTTGATGAATAGTTCTCAACAACCTGTAAAGTACCCAACTCATCAAAGGTCACATTACGAGCAAGATAGATGGACGGAAGGGCGGATGAGATCACCAATAAGTTCCGACGTCGTATTGCTGTCGTGGTTGCTGTCGTTGTTAGTACAGGTAGGTCAGTTGTTCCCATTGCCCTCGTTCTCCTTCTCGCCATCTTCTATCCTGCGTATACATACTTGCTCAGTACGCCCAGCACTCGCTGAAGGGATTTGTCGGACAGATCATTTCGGCGCCATCGTGTTGGACGCAACGGGTGCCTTGTGCCTGCTCTGGAGGATTGCCTCCGATGAGGCCCTCAGGTCGCCCGCCACGTTTTGCCCAGGGTCTTCTGTCCAAGTCACGTACATTGCTTCCAGCTTCATTCAGTCGCCACCTCCTCTTCGAGATGATTGCCATGGAAATACGCCCCGAGGAACGGCTGATGCCGCAAACCAGGCGAGGATCAATGATATGTACTTACCTTCATAAAAAGAAATATGAAATGGAAAAAAACTATCCGTTTGGCATTAGAGATAGAGAAAACAGAAAATCGTGGTACGAATGTTGACACCACCGGTTGCCCATCAATTCACTGTGAGGCAGAGGACCTGTGTAGAGAAAAGACCACCAGAGACGTTATGTAGTAGTACAAACTTCGGAAGCTTGTATTCAGACAATCCAAGCGTCACACTCAACTTGTATAAGAACCTCGAAGTGGCCTAGAAGTCTCTGGTCTAGTCCAATGGCCCAAAGGACATCTCACCACATCACAGTGCAGTTCCAAGCCAGACGAAAAGTGTTTGTACTTTTGTATTGATGCGGAAAATTAGCTCGGGGCAAGAAAACCTCCTCCATCACGTGTGCTTGTATCTATGTTCTGACAGAAACATTTCTCCCCAGGAAAACAAGCCAATGCCTACTGCCAGTTGCCTTGTTTTCTTCACTCTTCCCACTTGCCCCGAGCGTACGAACAGAAAGACCAAAACAATGTCTGGGATCGAAAAACCCGCAGTGAGGAATACAATTACAATACATTCGAGAACCCCAAAATGCCGCCCCGTAAACGCCTTAGAAGCCAAAAGCAAGGTTTGAACCGGCCGATTGCCGAGCCAGGTATAATATGCATCGAATGCTTGGGGAAGGGGAAGAGAGAAATGCGCCCCGAGGGACCCGTTCATCTTCATCGTTGTCATCATCGCCGTGTCGTGGACATCATGCCGGTCAAAGCCGGCTTCCACCCGTAAACACCATCCTAGTTTGCCGCAATCTCCAAGGTTACCAGAACCCAACGCCAATTCATGCAGAACAACATGGACCGGTCGTGATCATCATCATCATAAGTGGTTAGTAAGTGGTCGGCCCGAGTCACGTGGCCCGGAGTAGAAACTCAAGAACGAGGGCCAGGCTGGATGCCTCTGCGTGTCACCTAGGCACCAGAGACTTTGCGGGCCGTCGACGCCGCCGTGGCTGACGTTGCCGAGGTACCCACGCTGCCAACACGGCCGCTCGTCTTTCGAACTCCATCCTTGGACCTCGGCGACTCGCCCGATCGCTTACTGCCACGAACCTTGGTGAGAATGCCGGACGCGCTGCTGACTCTATCCACTTGCTTGACGCGTGATGTTCCGAGGTTCTCGACGTCATTGCTGGCATCGTTGTCGATGTACGTCTGGTACACAGCGGCAGCTGAGTGACTAACCGAGCGCTTCTCACTGCGACCAGGTGACGCGGACGGTTTCCGTTGCGAGCGCATGCGGAGGTGAATTTCTTCATCCGACTCAGCGCTATGAGAATGCTTGTGGACTGTGATGGTCTCGGCGTCTTGGTGGATGCCCGTTTCTTCCTCGACTGTTGCGGTGTATGAAGTTGACCTTTGGTATGGGTGGTGGCGGTCTGCCCTGTTGGTCTTCCTCGGCTGACCAGGAGTCGGCGCTGGGAGGTAGTCTTCCTGAACCCCAATGTTATTGCGGTCGTGGTCGACTTCGCTCAAAGGCGTTCGGTTGGAGGTGCTTCGGTGCGGGGGCGTGGATGCCTGACCGGCACGAATCGACGTCTTCTGCATGGCGCGGATCGGGGTGCTGGGGACAGCGGCATTGGCGGCCATTTCTTTGCGGAGCTTGCGCTCGATGCGCTCCTCGATCCACCACTCACGGAAGATACCCTGGTTGATGTGAAGCCAGTGCTGCTGGGGACCGACGACCATACCGGGGCGCATGAAGCGCATAAAGGCAATGATCTCGTTGGCCGTGAAGCCGTGGCGGTAGATGAGGTATGCACCAATGAGGCAGCCTGTTCTTCCGAGACCGGCCTTGCAGTGGACAGCGATGCCCTTCTTCTTGACGGTGATGGTCTCGTGTGCCAGTCTGATGAACTTGCGGACAGTGGTGAGAGGCGGGCAGGTGCCGTCGTCGAAGATCATATCGAGGTGAGAGATGCCCATTGACTCGAAGAAGGAGGGGGAGTACAGAGGCGAGTTGAGGCGAACAACGAGGCCAATGTTTCTCTCGGTGAAATGCTTCAGAACGTTCTTAAAGGGCTGGGGAAGCGTCTTGTTGGCATCCAACTGGCCGAGTGACTTGGGAAGCGCATCAAATTCCTCAGTGCCTTCGAGGACTTTGGCAACGGGTGTGTGTTGCGGCGAGGCAAAGGCCAGGAAGTGTGGCGTGATCCAGTTGAAGTCTCCGTGCTCCACTCTCTCAAACTTCTCATACTCGTCGAGGTCGAAGTTGTCGAGGGCGCAGCAGCCCTCCTCCTTGGCCTTCCAGACGCCGTAGACAACATCTTGGACGGTGATGCCGTAGTCGGCCTGAGAGTATCCAGCGTCGCGGAAGGGCATCAAAGGTGGGTCGACTTGAGCGATGGGGGCCAGGGCTAGATGCGGGGGCCAGTTCTGAATAAGGACCATGTAGCAGGCGAGCATGCAAGCAGCGTTGGCGCGACCTTGTAAATTGTTAGCTGGGGGTTCCCATGACAACTATCTAATGCTGCGGACTCACTTCTGGGGTCGGCTCTACTCCAGAAGACAATTGGGCGATCCTTATTCTCCTTGGCACCGAGGACGTCATGGAACTGCAGGGCGAAGCGGTACAGGTGACCAATGTGAAGCGGGCCAAAGTCGTGGTGGAAAGCATTGTACAGGAGGGTATCGTCGACGGTGAAGTAGTACGGTGTTTGACGGGCGGCGGTCTGGACGGGTGTCGGGCCTTCGGCCGCTCTCTGTGATCGCTTTCTAGGTGAAGACTGGGCAGCTTCGCCGTAGGGGAAGATGGTCTCGGCCGTGGGCGGGTGGATGTAGGCGGCCAGGTACAGGCGGTCTGGAAGCCAAGTCAGAATTGAGATTGGTAAGAAGGCGCAATAGAGGTAGGGATGAAGCTGGGGTAAGGCATAGTTGAAGCTGTCGCATGTTGCGCTTACGTCGGCTTGCGGCGAGCGAGGCGACCGAGACGGCGCAGGATAATGATGCGACATGTTTGCGATGTTGAGGGCGGGCAAAATGCACGATTTGGGAGTTGAAAGAGCACGCGCGATAACTCACCTGGGATGTACTCAATGACCTGGCCCATGTTGGCACTCTTGGATGAAGGCGCCATTGGGAATCGTGAGTCTCTGTTTCCTCTCTGAAGCTATTGTCCGGTTGAGATTGGGATGAGGCAGTTGCTCTCGGCGCCGGAATCCAAGATGCAACTTGGAGGAGGCTGGAGGCTGGAGGGGGTCGAAACGATCAAGGCAGGCGCCGAGATTATCCAGAGGCGAGGCTACTCCTTTGTATGCGAAGTAATGCGCGCGCAAGGGATTTCGGGAAGGCGGTCCCTGGGAAAAGTGTCGTGCAGCAAATGGGTGCGGGATTGTGAGCTGGGTTGAGGCAGGAATGTTGAAATGGCTGGTCTGAAACAATAACAACAACAAGCAGCTACTGTACACCTTTTTGGTTTTGATGTTTTTTTTTTCCTGGTCTGACCCAAAAAGCTGCGACGCCCTTGCGGAGAATAGAGAAGGAAGCGCAAGAGAAAACAGCAACCCGACTCAAGGGAGATGTGATGCTTCAAGGGCGGACAAGACAATTGTCGGAGTCTATTGGGAGGATGAGGTAAAAGGAAGGTATTGCGAAAGCGCAAAGGAGACCGAGTGACGGTGTTTTTGTATGGTTTGCTGTGTGTTTTGCTCCAAGCGGTCAATATGGGGCCGGCCCAAAACAGCAAGGGTCGGTTGTTGTTCCCTTAGCCTTCTGTGCAGTGTGGCGCCCCCCAGGTGGCCCCCCTGCACCACGGCGACCGCTGTGCTGTGGTGTGTTCTGGCCCTGCTCATCCAGTCTTGTGCTGGCTGCCGGGCTGCCAGGTTCGTTGTCACGACAACCTGCCAGGGGGAGCACTGGCCAGGTGCGCCTCCTGACGGATGGATCGAACCGTCCCATTGGCTCATAACGCCTGAGGCAAACGCACCCGCCTCAGATCCCGCTTGGCTTTCCACCTGGACTAAGATATCTACCACCTCACCACCTTACCGTGGGTAAACAGGTACCAAGTATCTTCCCTTTACCATGGAAACTAAGCCCTTTGCAGCATCTGACGGCTGTTGACCACCGCTTGCGCAGCTAATGCCCAAAAGAAATGCCCCCTTGCTCTCTCTCCAGGTTCTATCGGTTTGTTCCAACAATAACAAACCAGCCAGGCACAGATGGGCAACCGTCTCCGCATGAACTCGTTTAAGCCTTCCCAGGTTGCTTATCGGGCGGCATTGCATCAGACAACATGTGAGCCGCCAGGGCAACCCCACGTTGCGCATCTCGTCCCTCTGTGGACTCTTGAACTGTGGACTCTACCTTACCTTACCGTCTACGGATACGGGATAGGTATGGAACAACACGCACTTATCCATCCCGATGGAACCAATAGAACATGTGTGTAAGTCAAAGAGGTCACCAAGTCACCTTGGGGACGGCCCGAGAGCCCTTGTGCGTGTGCGTTGGCTACATTGCTTGATTCTGTCGTGTGTCACATTCGACCCTAGACTGAGATGCCGCCATGGAAACAAGCCCGTGGAATGGCGGGGCACTGTGCTCCTTACTACGTAGTCACACTATCCTTACTTTTCTCGGTCCCTCCAAGGTTTGTGCTCACCTCATGTTTCCGTCCCGCTGTCCCGCTCATTGTTTGGTTTCTTCAAGGTACGCAAGCAGTACGTACAGTACGTTACTTTGGTGTTTGCCGGCCGGACAGGAATTTTCTTGCGCCGCCAATGACGACTTTGCCTTCTCTTTCTGCTTCCTGTCAAGTTCCTTTTCAGAAAGATCTCCATCCCTCCCCCACAGAGCCGCCGTGACAGCGCAACAGCGACGGGGCTTGCCCATTCCTGTCCCACCAAGGCACCTCATCACCCTACTTACCTAAGATAGTCTACCTGACTATCTCTATCTCGATTTCACCCCTCCCCCTCCCTCCACATCCCACCTCCAAGCGCAGAACTCCCAGCGCCGAGAATCCCCAACCATGGCCGTCCACAACACCATTGACCAAGAGTTCCCCTGCTCATTGTGAGTTGTCGCCGCCATACCCAAATCCCGCATGGACCCCCCCATTTCTTCTCGTATTTGTACCATACCCACCTCATAGAGATACAAAAAACTGAGACATGCGAAACGATTAGAACAATCAACGTCCCCTTCCCGACCCCGCGCCTAGCCACCGTTGCGCACAAAGCCCTCGCCGTCGACCAAGAACTGTCTCCCCTCGTCCGTCGCACCTTCTCCATCGATTCCGACTCACCGAGTGACGCCGGCGCCGACGCTGCTTCCGTCCTGCGCGTACACTACAAGGCCACCACAAACCGCATGCTTCGCGTGGCCGTCAATGGCCTCATGGAGAGCCTGAACCTCGTTGTCGAGGTCATGGAGGAGCTGGATGTTGATGTTTTGGAACACAACCGGGTCTCTTCGCAATAAGGGGCTCGGAAAAGAAAGAGAAGGAGCAGTGAAGAAGGGGAGGGGAGAAAAGAAAATGCCTCTCGTGGATTGCTACTCGAAATATGGGAAACTAAAAGGAGAAAAAAATATACAGCTGATCGCTGGAAATCCAAGACAAGAGAGCGGGAACGAAGTCGCACGCGATGGGAAGAGAAGACGGGAAACGATGCATCATGACTTCATTTTCTACATTTTTGTGATACCCTAGAATACACAGCCATATGATATGTGACATGATCACAAGGTGCCGGTGCTCTCTCTGTAGAGCTCTAGTCTAAATTTGCTTCCAGATTCTCCTGAGCCTAATACCTTAGCTTCAGGCAGGCTTGTGCCGGCGATGACCCCTAATGCGGCCAAGTACAGCAAACGTGGCAGGAGGATATGTATCCTAACGGTTATACGACTCCAGATATCCCTCTATGGCCCCCCTTAATTACTTCATATATCATGCCCTCCCGGTCTCTTGACCAATATATTGTCTCTGTAGCTCTCAAGGCCATCATTACAGACGCGCTCGTCTAGCTCTCCACCGCCTCCTTCTGCTCCAAGGACTTTTCCTTGAGCTCCAACTTCTTCTCCGCCTCCTCGGCTCGCTTGTTGGCATCGGCGACTTCCTGCTTGAGCTGTTTAATGTATTCAATGGCCAGCTCAACGGTGCTGGCTTTACTGTTCGGCGCCCCTCCAGCCTTGGCCTCCTTTTCTCTCTCTTTCCTCTCTTCGCTTTCGCTCTTGGATTCCTTTGGCGGCTGCGGCAGCAGCGTCGCAATCTCTTGCAACGCCGAGTTGATTCGGTTCCGGCGGCCCTGTTCCGCAATCTTGTGAGAAGTACGCTTCGATGTGAGGTTGGTCGACAGTTCGCTGGGATACGTCACACCGGGCACGGTATTGCCCTCGAGGATGTTCTGATAGTTGGACTTTGACATTAACAGACGAGATGCGGTGTCTTCGGCGGACATGCCACCGGGGGTTCCAGGTAGGAGCGGCTTGATGCTAGGAGATATCCTCGGCCGCAACGCAGGCGAAACGTGTACCGAGCTCACGCTTCCCCTCTTGCTCTGGCTTCCCCTGGCCAACAGCTTTGGCGTTTTCCGCGCCGATGGACCTGAAGATCCAGGAGCAAGGTTCGGGCTCGCGCTGGCTGACGCAGCAGCGGTGGGTTTGGCGAATACAGGGGAAGGGAGCGGCTGGAAGGACGAGCCCGCAGCCGTGCCAGGGTCCAGAGGCGACTGAGTCGGCGTTGATGTGTCCAGTCTAGGGGGTTTCGTTTTTGATGAAGAAAAGTTCACGGATTCGGGCAACTCGAACGATTCAATATGGTCTGATGGGCCTAGATCGAGAGGATTTGATGAGGCAGAGTTGTTTGCGCTGGAAGCAGGCAGCTTCATGAGAGAGGCCGGTGTGGCGGGAGACGGCTTCCCTTGAACGTGAGCCGGGATCGCGGGATGAGGCTGAGGTTGAGGTTGAGGTTGAATAAAGGGTGATTTGCTCGATTGTTTCTGTTGCGGAAGAGGCGGCGGGGGCATATCTGACAGGTTCTCCGGCGATACTGACGCATTTTCAGACTCCTCGCTGCTCATCGGGGCTGGCAGAGCTGTCGAAGGAAGCATCTGATCCAACCCATCCTCGTTCACCTCCCGCATTTCCGAGAGAGCCTGTGATACCATCTTCGGCGTGGGTGTTGCCCTTTTGCGCTGTGGTTTTGAAATCGGCGACTGTCGCACACTAGATTTGGCCTTGGCTCTCGAGGCGTTGGTCTTGCGGGCCTTCTTTGATAAATCTACCACAGGCTGTTGCGTGGTTGTGGTTTCAACATCCATCTCGGCTGGTGAATTATGGTTTGAGAGGGACGATCGACGGTCGTAAAGCAGTCCCTGGTCGCTTTGTGCGTGTAATGCCGGCGAGGTGAGAGGGCTGAAGTACGCGCCTGGAATTGTAAATCCGCCAGCTTCCATCTGGAAATGAGGATCCAACGGTGTTACAGCTGGCGAGACCAAGGGAGTGAAAGCCATCTGTTACGTTCAGCTATAGAGGTTCGTTGCACTGCGAGGGGGATCAACTCTTACATCCTGCTGCTCCTTCATCCTTTGATACCTGCTGCCAAACATGGGCGTCTGGCTTTGGTCGTTTGAGTAGAACTGGTTGCTGGCGGGCGGCATTTCGAGACTCTGAGGTGTAGGGGGAACAGCGTGTGTCTGGCTAGCGTAGTATGCGACTTGCTGTTCTTGTATCTGGCGATGTTGCTGTTGCATCCTTTGCTGCTGTAGGTACTGTATCTGGGCGTCGATTTCGGTAATGGCATCGGTTGACGTCGACGGGGGAATCATTTGAGTCTGTATAGCAGGGTGCGCGGCGGCCGTTGTCATGTTGATAAGCTGCGCTTGCATAGCAGAGGTGGTAGCTCCCATGAGCATGGACGTGTCGGTTCCTCCCATCTGAGTATCGATCTGCTCGCGACCAGGCTGATGCATAATGCCGGTCCCGTTGCCAGTCTGATAGTCGTTGAAGTCGAAGGGCATCGCATCGCTGAGGTTGCCCATCCCTCCCAAGTCCAAGAATTGCTGAAACTCCTCATCGTGGTTCGGTGCCAAGGCCGGGTCCTGGGGGTTCCAAGAGGCGGCGTCCATCATGGCTACACTGAAGGTTGCGACACCGGCTCGGAGAATTTTGAATCCCGAACTGCAAATGGCGCTGTCGTGGGAACACCGTCGAATCTTGTGCGCCTTCCCTTTTGCAATATCCGATTCGTAAGATCCTGATCAATGAACTCGATTGGCGCGGTCGTAGGCCGATAGCGACAGTCGTTGAAGTGTGTTGGGGTGAAATAGGTGAGAGAGGCTCAGTAGGTTGCGCATAAGGCAGTGTATGGAACGTAAAGGCACGGCTTGTCGTGGGGTTCTGTTCGAGGTGCGTGGGGAATACGGGATGAAAATGTGCCGGGCGCAAAGTGTAAAGCGCAGTGCCTCGCGCCGAATGAATTCGGTAGGAGACTTCGCTCTCTCGATGCCAAGAAGAAGTCGGGTTATGAATAACCTGTGACGGAGTGATGGACGAGGTTGAAAGATGGTGTTGGAAACAGGAAAACCTGTCTCTCTTGGTGGAGAGAGAGAGGCTGGAGAAGACAAACAGACGGAGCTGAGGGACTGAGAGGCAGTGGCACCGGCAGCGGCAGCGAGCAGGTGATAATGGTGGGAATGGTGGGGGGAGACACACCTACTGCGTACATAGGGCACTAGAGAAGGAGGTGGGACGGGGGTGCATTCAGATGGATGGATTGCCATTGGCAGCCGGTGAGTGGTTGACGAGCCCGTGGACACATTTTTTCTCGCGTACCGTGGACTTGCGGACCCAAGCTTTGCCTCGATAATCGACTGCTTCCTTGCCCAGGACATGGATGACAAGTGAACTGGCCCGTGCCCGGCGCTTTCATGCTTCCAAGGACTCCCCAGTACAGGGATTGTATTATGTGGTTATTGTTGAGCTATCCGTAACTGCACTAGGTTTCTGTAAATTGGTCGAACCGACCGACACGCGGTTAAATTGGGAAGCAGAAAAAAAAAAAAAAATACACAGTATGATATCCGTTACTCCCGTACTCAGGGATCCTACCCGAACAATCTTACCGACGGCAACATGTCATGTTGGCGGGTGTATCACCACCAGCGACACCCGCTAGCACCTTCAGATCTCGGATCGTCAGCAGGTTGGATGAGGTCACAGGACAATCCTGAGCGATCGCCGCGCCTATGAATACCCATCATAGCCGCAAGATAAGGTATGTTTGCGCTGAAGCCGCAGTCGAAGATTATTCGCTGCGAAACAGTTGCCCAACACGGTTTCAAGTCCGATCACTTACCTACTGTTCGGGAATATCCACCCTCGCTTCAAGCACTGTCCAAACCCTCGGGCGATGCTCAGTGTGAACTGTGAAGTGAGCAAGCATTTCCCTGCGTCTAGTTAGACCATTCCATATCTCCGGAGACAACACCACGAGGATACTTAACTCAGGCTACTATACAGTTCAGGACTATGTATCTACTCCGTACGCATCTTGGCCAAGTTCTACTTGCCTGCCACTATCCCAGGGGTCTTTTGTCTGTGCTCAATCTGACCCTGTCCAACCTTCTCCATGAGACAAGAAACCTCCTCTTTTCTTTCAAGTTTCAACTGACAACAGTGGAGGTATTACACTATTTCCAGATGGCCCCTCTCGGACTCGGAATGATTGTCGGGGAAACCACAACGTGCAATGGCTGGTATTTTCTCCCCAACCATGGCACTCACCCAGCCATCGTCCCACGACTTCCCAGTCACGGCGCTGGAGAGTTCAATAATGAGGACGGGACGAGGGGAGAAATTTTCTCACCCGATGTCTTTTTACGGATTGGCGCTCCGATCACACCGAGGCCTTGAGCAAGCAAGATTGACTTAAAGTGGATCCGGACCCTCATCGGCAACGGCGCCGGCGCCGCGCCACGCAAGTTCGTCGGAATCGAGCTCGAGCTTTAACCGCTCCAAGCCCAAGACTCTCGCTGTTGCTTCCGTACTAAGGAAACCTTGGGATGCGAGATGCCAGGTGAGGTATGGTAAGCTTCACAACCGCCCAGAAGAGTCAAGAGACATCCCGCAGCCAAGCCCATCACGGCAGACGTCAAAACTGACAGCCCAGGCAGAGGGGCTCTCTCTAGCCAGCAGGCGGAGCCATGTTCCACACTACGAGTCCGTGACTCGTGAGCTTGTCTACATACTCGGGTCCCATCTCGGATCTCCGACTTCGATCCTGACAGGCGTCGTAGGCCCATAGTGCGGTTATTTAATATCCAGCCCGGAATCGGTGCTGCACTGCCTGCAAGTCATGAGCGATTACGGGACCAGAAACGGGGTCAGACGAACAATGCAACCTGTCGCCTTTGGTTTAATTTGGATGACCGGTAGTTGGGTACTACTGATTGACATTGGGCCCAGGTTGCAGTCGTATTGGT